AGCAGTTAGTGTAATGGCTATGTCGCTGCAGTCCCATGTAGTCGACCACGGTTCGAGACCTGGACTGGGTGGCTTAAAGTCACGCTGGGCGCGTGTGTGTGTGTGCCCAAGATCCTGAGAGGAGAATGGAAGAGAGGGGATTGCAACGTGGCCATCCCCCCCCCCACCCTGGGGGTGATTTCTCGCTTTCTATTTCTCTGTCTCTCTTTCTGTCTTTCTGGCCAGTGCACTTGCCCTGTGGCAAAAACTTCTCAAAAAAAAAAAAAAAAAGCTAGTGTTAGGATCTGGAATCATCTGGAGAAATGGGAATTGCCAATGGCAACACATAAAACAGTTTGAATGATTATCTTTCCTGTGTCTTTCCTGTGAGAGACAGACATATGCCAATAATGGGGCTGGCTTCATGGCCTGGTGGTTGAGGGAGCCAAATGCTACATGGCTGACCACACAGTTCAAATCATGGCTTCAGTGGCTTGAAAAACATGCTATGCACATGTACAAATCCCCACAGGCTGGAACAATGGAAGAGAATGGACTGTGACCTGATCATGCCCACTGAGCAGTGCTTTCTTCCACTCCCTCTTTTTGACTCTCTGTTTCTCTCTCTCTGTCAAGGACATACCCCTCTGCAAAAGAAAAAAAAAAGGTGGGAAAAAAAGATGTCAGTAATGTATTTTCCCAGGGATTACTGTAAATGTTCTTGCTTCTATTAACATAGTCCACCTATTCCCTGCAATAAATGTTGACTTGTCTTACTTTCTTTTGTATTTTTAGTGACTAACACATGCCTTTTGCCTAATAGATTATAAAATGTTGAGTGATTAAATGTTGGAATCAGTGACCACAACCATAGCAACTGAGTCTATGATCTTGCAATTTTCAGTAGGTAGAAATATGGCACCAGGAATTAAGGACAAATAAAGGATTGCAGGATCACATTTTCTTTTGTTAATGAGTTCAAATTTCCTCTCCTAGATAATATAGACCCAGGCTATGGGCAACATTTAGAGAAGCCTTGCTGAAAGCTTTTCAGGAACATCTGAGGAATTATAGAGGGGAAGGAGTAGAGCATGAAAAGAAAACACCCAGATATTCAAGAAATGGAATATGAAGTTATTAACTTTTTGATTAGAATGATGATACCAATTTGGGGAAAAACGATAGCCTGACTTATCAAACTTGGCACTTGTCAGACTACAATGATGAGAGGTTCTGGATCTGTGTTTACAACTGTTGATCATAGATTCACTCAGAAACTTTTGAGTTCAATAATATTTAGCTAAATTAATTCCCTATAATAAAAGAAACACTTTCCCATTCCTGAAATGATTAGAGTTGGCCAAAATCTCATAGAGCATACAAGATCTAAGACTTCTAGAGCTGTCCCTAGTGGTCACCTAGTCTGGTTTTGATTCTAGACAGGAATAATGTGCACATCAATGGAATTATGTAACTGTGACACATTTCAAAATATAATTCATTGTGTTTATTGAACATACGCACACACATGAAAGAGACAGGTTTACATAGTCGTAAAGAAAACTATGGCTGACTAGCTCTGTGACACTGAGTAGTTACTTACCTCTAGACGTTCATGAACTCTTCCTCAAATAGGAAGATAAAAGGTCTTACCTTATAGCGCTCTTGGGAAGATTTTACATGTTTTGAATCATCAGAAGTCATGATACATTTCATATAGAAAAACAAAGAAAAATATGTCACGACTATTCCGATGACCCAATATGTATGTATGTGTGTATGTGCAGGTTTGTACATATATTTATAATTCAAAACAACGTCTGGCTCATGTGCTAATTATTTTGATATAACCATTAATATATAGAAGGGGTATTCTTAACTCATACATTTACCGTTTGTAGTGAGAAATATTTTTGGTAGGCCCAGTGAACTTTTAGTGTGTGGTACCATTTCCAGATGTTTGCCCTTTTAAAGGTTTCTTTTGTTTGTTCCATGAGCAATAGACAGAGAGAGACAGCGACAGAGAGGTAGAGCCAGCCAGCACTATACTATCCACCCCCAGACCTCAACCAGCATGGATCATTTCTTTTCTTTCTTTTTTTTTTTTTTTGAGAGGTTTTTGCTATAGAGCACATGCACTCTCTAGAAAGAAAGAGAGACAGCAAGTGATAAATCATGCCCCCAGGGGGGATGGCTATGCTGCAATCCCTTCTTCTCCATTCTCCTCGGGATCTTGGGCATGCATGCACACACACCTGGCATGAGTCTAAGCTAACGGGTCCGGGAGTCGAACCACAGTTGACTACATGGGAATTCAGTGACATAGCCATTACACTAACTGGTGGTCCCAGCATGGATCATTTCTAAGGGAGACCTCTGGACTTGAACTAGGAAACCCCCTATTTAAGATTACCTCACAGGGTGTTAAATTTTACTGCTGTTGCACCATCATCTGGTCCAATCCTGACATACCTTTATTGTCATATTTAACTGGTACTAGTCTGGATTCTCCTTACTTTATTTTAATGTTCTTCCCTGCATGGATACACTCACATGCTGTACATTTACACACATGCACTCACATAGACTTATATAAAAAAATGCACATTCTCCCACAAATACATTTATAAAATCACACACACACACACACACACACACATGATTGACATATTGGTTTCCAAATAGACCAAGTCATAAAATTACATATGAAAGATAATTAAGAAGTTTTAAAGACTTCTATTAAAGCTAAAAAACAGAGTTAAATTATGAGGCATGCATATGCGATATATATTATTCATTTACTTTTTCCTGTGTTTTAAGACAATCTATCCATATATAAAAATTTTCACATATATAACATAGAAACATTTACTAAGGTCTAAAGAACATTAATGACTCTATTCTTAGCCATCAGATAAGATTTCTCAATCATTTATTCTCAAGTCAGCAGCCTTCATCTTTTTAGTTTGTTTTATGCTTCTTTGTTATGTGTGTGTGTGAGAGAGAGAGAGACAGACCCCCACACCAGCATCTTCATGTGGCAATCCACCCCTAGTCTTGGCTAGCCTGGATCGCACACCTGCTGAGCATGTAGAAGGAGGTTCCAGGTTGTGAACCCAGGACCCTCCACGTGGTCCAGTTGAATTACCTCTGGGTCACCACCTGGCTCTGGCAGCCTTGTGAAATACAAATATGTATGTATGCATGTATGGATTGGAAAGCTCCTCTTGTATGAAAGCTTGGTACACATTCTGTATTATCCACCTGATTGTGTTCATGGACTGTGCACTATGGGACCTGGGCTTCTGATTTATTATTAAATAAGTATTATTAAATCCTTTTTCTCAAAGCCTCTCTTCAGCTCTAAAGAACTTGGAGGTCTGTCATGACAGCTTGAAAACCAAGATCTGGACTTTTTACAGGACACTTTTCTCTGTGCCAGGAATTGCACTGAACACGTTACCTATGTCATTAAACACAAATCCTCAAAAAATAGTCTGAGACACGTATTTTTATCCTGATTTTTAAGATGAACCGAAGCTAAGAGACATTAAATGCCCAAGTTCATCCAGCTAAGAAGTGGCAGACCAGGAATCCAAACTCCATTCTCTCTCTCTAATTCTAAAACCCTGTAAGAAGTTGAACATGCTTCTTACAGGCCACCGTTGTAGCTATTGTGGATGGTGTCTTCAAAGAGGGAGTGCAGGACATGGAGGTTGCTAGCCAAATCAGTAGAGGCAGATTTCAAACTGTTGAGCTTGACTGTTGTAACCATTCCCTAGACCACTGTAGGTCATTCACTGGATAAAAAACACTCCTACTCAAAAGTGTCACTAGAACTGTAATAGTTATTAATATTTAGTAATTGATTGTATACTATTTTCTGGGTTTTCTCTTTATCAATTGCTTGTCTACTTACCTGTCTACTCTCCTACATGTTTTTCACTCGTTTCTTGTCAGAGAATAATGACAATACTACCTATTTTTCTTCCCTCTTTCCCCACTCTCCCTCTCCCCGGAAAAGGAGAAACCAGCATTTTCTTTTTTCAATCTTCACTGTCCTCATCCTCATCACTCTTGGATCTGATAGAGTTTATAGCATAATATAAAAGATGAACTTAATCCCATGAGAAAAATGTCCAGGTTGTATCCTAGTTCAATGGATGAGTGAGTTTTTCTCCATAACTTAATTTTGTGATCCAATTGGGAAGCATTGGTTTTATTAGTAGCTGGCTTCCCTTTTCTTATCAGAGTTTCAGCTTTTAACACCTAGCTCAAAAGAGAAAACACATGGTTTGAAGTTATTATTTACACTTCACAAATCCTTTCTTTTAAATATTTTTTCTTAGGTAGGAAAACAAACAAATCACTCTGGCTAAGATCTTGCAAACAAAGCTGTTAATATTTGCAGCCTGTATAAACATGACATCCAAAAGGAATGATCATTTAGTTTAATCGCAAACCAGGAGCGCTGATAGGAGTGGAAATAGAAGGAGATGTGTGTATTTTTCTTCCTCCAAAGATTGAGGGTTGACTTTAAAGAGGAAAATTCTGAGTGTCTCTTAAAACAGCACAGGAACTTTTTTATTTCCCCCCACACATTACTTGCCAGTATGTAAACATTTCAGGAAGACATTTTAAACCATCTCATCTGAGTGTCAGTGGCCATTTAATGGCTGAATGATAGATGGCCCCAAGTCTTGGCAGTTCTTCACTGGGCAGCAATCTGGGCATTAAAATGACAGGTGATCAGTGAACTTTTTTTTTTCCTTAAGGCAATCCCCATGGCAACTGTTTAAAATCAGTTACTTTCAACAAGTCAAATTTTACTTTGACTTTATGTTTTCCTGTAAAGATGTCTCACCACCCTCCCTAGGGGTATTTCCTGTTTGGATTTCATATGCAAAGGCTCTGATTCATTTGGATAGGCCTAGTTGCCTGAATTCTTTCTATGCATTTTAATTGGTATCTTGCAGATGTGTGGGCATTTATTCATGTGCTATTGCTTTCTCTCCCTGTAGGTAGAAATAACACTTCAGGATATCAATGACAACCCACCAGTATTTCCAACGGATATGCTGGATCTCACTGTGGAGGAAAACATTGGCGATGGCTCTAAGATTATGCAGCTGACAGCCATGGATGCTGATGAGGTAGCTCAGAACACGTTTCTGAATTTTTGAAACCTACTATTGCAGTGATGTATGAAATTTCTAACATACGAGGGTGCTTCGAAATTTTTTTTGGAAAAATGGAAATAAAAAATGAGTTTATTTTGGAGCAAAGTTTTTGAAATCCATGAATACTTTTTTCGTAAGAAATATTTTTCATGAGCTATTTGAAGACACCTTATAGGATGACAACTTTCATTGCCCAGCGATTGAAGATAAACACTGTGTACTCCTTTCTAAAGAACGGAGTAATTTAAATTTCTTTTTTAAAGTGTATTTATTCCATGGAATAGTGAGACAGAGAAGGAGAGAGGTACTTCTAACTGGGTCCCCATGCCATAATCCACTCCTAGTCTCAGTTGGCCTAGATTGTGGGCATGCCCAGTGTGCTCAGAGAGGTCCCAGGATGTGAATCCTGGATCTTTCCTACATGGGTCCAGTAGTGTTAGCACTTCACTACCCCCTGGCCCCTTGAACATTAATTCCTAAAATATGATATGAGAATTTAAGACGTAGACTATCAAGAGGTAATTTTCCCTTGACCAGCAATTCACGATTCAATTGCTTGCTGCTTGTATTTTGGATTTCTTAGCCAAAATTTTAAAATTTTCTCAAATAACAAAAATATCTAGACAGCTCTATTTTTATGCCTTTATCATTCCAACTTACTGCCTTATAGTGCTAAGGATTGATTTTAAGTATAATTGTAAATTGCAAATAATCTAAAATTACACAATTTAAAGGTTACATTACAATTTTTTCATTTAAATTGCATATGTTGTATATATACATATATTTAAAACAAAACATATAGTTCATTAACATTCTTACATATTTTAAGAATATTACCTATGCATGCTAATGATTTTTAATTTTTTTAATAAACAGAAATTTTATGCTCAGTGATGAATTTGAAATTTGGGGGTACAGTTTAGATGACTATCTTCTATATTTATATTTTAACTTAGCTATATAATCATCATTTTTCAGTGACATGGAAACTTACATAATTTGTAATTTATATATTATCCCATTAAAAGAAAATTCACGGCATATTTCCCGCTTCTTCCTCAGTAAAGAGTTTAATTAATGATCCTGAGTTGAGGACAGAGGAATACCTTCCCAGACACCAGCATCCCCTATCCTCTCTCTTGTAATCCAAATTAACATAGAACAGGGATTTTAATTTTACTTTCACCTAAACTCCAGAAACATCTGAAAATGTGCGTTTTAGCCCTTGAGTGAGATCTTCACAAAACGATTTGTTTAACCTTTAAAAGGCAAATAAGTAAATAGATTAATTTTCACAGCCAATATAGAAATGTAGTAACCAGTCGTTTGTAGATTTCGCCAGAATCTATCTAGTGAAACGGAACAGGATAGGTGCAGCCTCTGTGGCACAGCTGGTGGCATGCTCAACTGCTGAGCTGGAAGCCACGTTCTGACCACTGTTGAAGTCCCTGGCCCAGTCAACCTTCAAATATGCTGAGCACATGTGTGCATGCCCAAGGTCCTGGTGGGCAAGTATCGGAGGAAGAGCAGGCATCATGACAGAATCTTCTGGAGGATACCTCTCTTTCTCTCTTTCTCATACATGAACATCCTCTCTATTGTGAATGAAAAATAAAAAAAAAATAAGAGGGACCAGCAGATGGCATAATAGTTACATGGCTGGAACTCCCATGTAGTCAACCACAGTTCCAGTCCTGGACCTAGTGGCTTAACACTCATGCCAGGCGCATATGCGTGCCTGCCCAAAATCCCAAGAGGAGAATCGGGGACAAGGGATTTCGGCATGACCATCCCCTCTGGGGGAAGCGGGGATGGATTATTTCTTGCTTTCTGTCCTCTGGGGAGTGCATGTACCCTATAGCAAAAATCTGTCTCTAAAAAGAAAGAGAGAGAGATGGGGCCTGCCTGGGACCAGTGGTTTTGGTAGCTGGAGCCCATATGACTGACAGTGCTATTGAAGTGAAAAATCACACCAGACACATGTATGTGTGTTTCCAAAATCTCAGGAGGAGAAGGCATTGCAGTGTGCCCATTCCTTCTGGGGGTGATTTCTCATTTTCCCTCTCACTGTCTCCTCTCCGGTGAACACAACCATCCTATGGGAATAACCTTAAAAAGAAAAAGAAAAAGAAACCCCACCAGTATATGCATGTGTGCCCCAAATTCCAAGAAAAGAATGGAGGAGAAGGGATTGCAGCATGGCCATCCCCCCCGGGGGGGTGATTTCTCACTTTCTGTCTCTCTATCTCTCTCTGTCTCTTTGGCGAGCTCACGTGCCCTATAGCAAAAAAGCTCTCAAAAAAAAAAAGATAATACTGAATGTAAAATGATTATATCTACAATATGTGAAAAGCACCTTTGGGATAAGACAGGGTGGGGATTTAAGGGATAGAAAAGTAGAAGGTTCTAAAGCGGGACTAGACAAGGAAAATAAAGGGAGGGTTGTCAGCAATTCAGGAGGCGAGAGGGCTGCTGACAGCGTGCGCAGAGTGTCACTTCCTATAAATTCACTTCATACTGTGTGTGTGTGTGTACACGTGCATGCGCATACAAGGGCCAGAGAGGATAGAAGTTAAGTAGGTACACTTCCAGCCTTAAAGAAAAGAGGTACTTTTATTTTATTTATTTATTTATTTAGGTGTTTAAATTTGCTGCTTGCTGGGGAGAGACAGGGAGAAAGAGAGTGAAAGTGAGAAAGCATCTCCCATGGAGCATGGTCATGCGACAGTCCCTTCTGCTCCATTTATCCCTCCTTTCAGACTTGGAGTGTTTTTCAACCCTCTGGGTCCAGAACTTGAACTGCAGTCAGCCATGTGGGGTCCAGCTGCCTTAACCCCCACGTCACCAGCTGGCCCAAGATGGACATGTGTATAAAACTTTCTTAAGACCACTGTTTTTTAAAGATGAAGCACATCAGGTGTTTTTCCTAACTATAAGCATTTTCTCTTGAATTTTCAAATAGTGTTTTAATAATTCCTGAGTATTTCAGCTCTTAGCACAAATTGGCATTTCTTTGGCTTATGTCAAACAGAATGGGTAACCAGGTTTCCTATGGCCTTGAGAATGCTTGGCTGTTTCCTTTTTCTTAGTAGTTTACCAGAAATTATTATTGAGGCTTTAAATAAACCTTTACTCTATTTTCTACTCTATTCTCAGTTCCCTAACTCTTAGTTGAATTTGGAAAAATAAATAAATGATAGTGTTTTATCTCTTACCAAACCATGGTTCTGTAGTCTTTCTTCATTTCAATATTGAGCTCAATATTGAAATGTAGGGGGTTTCTGTTACTTTCCAACTAGCCTTAAGTTGTCATATGACTATCCAGTGAGTTGATTTAGAAAGATTGGTAGAATTACTTAAATCACTAAGATAATGTCATCCATCAGCAGATTTTGAGTTGATACATATTGTTATTATTCATACACATTTCCTTAATTTCCTAACTAACATATCAGTTCAGTGCGTTAGAGAAACTCTTATAGGCATTAGATGATAAAGCCTGGGTACGAGAATTACAATTTTAAAAATCAACAAATAAGAGTAAACTCAATTTAAGTATTATTTGAAATGGGTTAGATCTAGATAAACATCTTTTGGAAGCAACTGACTTTGTCAGTCTTTGTTCCCATTCATTCATTCATTCATTTATTCTAGAGGGCATGCGCACTTACCAGAGAGAGACAGAGTGTAAGAAGAAAAAACATCTTCCTTCCCCATCATCAGGATGGTCATGCTGCAATCTCTTCTCCTCCATCTTTTCCTCCTTTGCGGATTTTGGGTATACACACACACCACATGCACCTGGTTTGTTTCTCAAGCCACAGGGTCTGGGACTAGAACTGCTTGATTAGCCATGTGGGATCCAGCTGCTTCAACCAACAGGCTGAGAAGCTGGCCTGCTCCTTTTTTCATAAATAGATTATTTTTTAATTGCCAGAGGGTGCGTGCACCACCAGAGTTAGCAGGGACAATCCCCCAATGGGGCTTGATCACACTACAACCCCTTCTCCACCATTTTTTCATCCATTGAGATTTGGGGCATGCAAACACACATGCTCTGGGTGTTTTTCAAGCCACTGGGGCTGAGATTTGAACTGAGGGTGGCCATGTGGGTCTGTTCCCTTAAACATAGAAAGCAAGAAATCACTCCCAGGGGGATGGCCATGCTCCAATCTCTCCTCCACTCTCCACTCGGGATTTTGGGCATCATGCACATGAACCCAGTGTGAATTTTAAGTCACCAAGTCCAGGATTCAAACCACAGTTGACTGTGTGAGAGTCCAGTGATGTAACCATTATGCCATCTGCTGATCCCAATATTTGTTTTTGAAAATACCACTTTAGGTTATAAAAAATGTATCTGCAACTTACAGCTATTGACTTTTAGAATTCCTTCCATGGGCTTTGTTTTCTCTCTGGCTCATAGGAGGCTAGAATATTTTTAACCAGCATTATTTCCACGGCATAGAAACTTGATATTTATTTCTTGTTTTGTTGCTGATATGACATATTTAGGATATTAAAAAAATAGACTTTTCAAAAGACCTAATTGAGTCATTATTCTTGGCCAGACGTTTTCAGACATTCACTAGTACTATTAATTTGCTACATCAGCTGATTCTGAATGCAGCCAAAGTTGTTTCATTAACATAGTCTTATATCTTTGCTTTAGGAATATAGTTAATAATTGTAGTCACTTTTTTGATAAGACATTTTTAAATATCTACTACTTCTGTAATAACTTTAAACATGTTTTGTTTCTTTACTTTTTCCTAATTTCTTGGTAGTTGTTTTAGTAGGTCAGAATTGAATGTAGCTAATTTCATTCCTAGGCTACATCGCTATAATAGAATTTCTAGTAAAATAGAACAAAAAGTATAGAATATTATCAGATTAGAAGTGTACAGTTCCTTTTTCAAAAGAATTACTTATTTAATCTTATTTATCATTATTTAATTTGCCCAGAAAGAGACAGAAAGACAGGGAAAGTGAGAAAGCAAGCCACTGGTTCCAGGACTCGAACCATGGTTGGCCACATGGGAGTTGAGCATCCTAACCACCATGCTGCCTGCTAGCCCAGAAGTCTAAAATTCTTATTAAATGTTTTTGTTAAAGGATTATATTACAATAAATATGTTAGCTATTCCACGAACACCTGTATGTACAAGGTAAATACTTATAAACTCAGCTGTTTTATTATTAAATTAAAGCATGCTTTGAGGTGTTTGCTTTGCTAAATTTTAAAGTTGGCTTGGGAATACAGTGCAGAAAGTTAACAAATGCCATTAAACAAACTTTGAAAGAGGGAATATTTTTACCTTAGACTGTTAGAAATCATCTCCACTTACTCACTTACCTATTTATTTATTATTTATTTGTGTCTTTTTAAAATTTCTTTCATCAGTGTTTTGTAATTTTCAGTGTCCAAATCTTTTACCTATGTAGTTAAGTTTATCTTCTATTATCCCTGGAAATCTTGTAATAGCATATGAAATTAAAGCCAAAAAGCCTCACTTTGGCCAATCCGTGTTCAAAGGAAATAGAAGGCTGAATATTCTCACTGTTCTATTTCCAGCAGTTCAGATATCTGGTCTCTTTTTTCAGGGTGCAAATGCTCTAGTCACATATACTATCATTAGTGGAGCTGACGATAGTTTCCGCATTGACCCTGAATCCGGAGACCTAATAGCTACCAAGAGGTTGGACAGGGAACGTCGTTCCAAGTATTCGTTGCTGGTTCGTGCTGATGATGGTCTTCAGTCTTCTGACATGAGAATTAATATCACCGTCAGTGATGTGAACGACCACACACCCAAGTTCTCTAGACCTGTGTACTCTTTCGACATCCCAGAAGATACAACCCCTGGTAGGTGATGGGTCCTTTCTTATATTTTGCAGGGATCACTTTTGACTACCATTATATGTTTTCACTGCTCCTAATTAATAACTAATTTTTACCATGTGCTATTTGTTATAAAAATACTAGGTTGTGAGCAAAGTCATGATGTATTTTTCCATGTTTTTCTATACAAAAATGTGTCATGACTTTCCCAATGACACAGTACTTTCTATTTATCATCTATCTATCTATCTATCTATCTATCTATCTATCTATCTATCATCTATCCATCCACACATCCATATTATTAGATTTTTTAGTCTTTTAATTAATCCTATTTGGTACAATTCCCAAGAAACTTGATAGATTTTTGAGAGTGAATGGGGTTAGCCATTTATCTGATTACTGATTATAGATATTTCTGTTTTTGAAAGTATTTGTGACATGAGTTGTTAATTTTTTCTGGAAGCCACAGTTTTGATCCTTTTTATCCACTTTAAAAATGTCTAATGCACTAACGCTGCTGTGTCAGGGAAGGGCAAAGCAAAGTGCTTATAAAACAGAGCTTGCTGGTTCTAACACTTACCAGTTCTGCGATCCAGGGCAAATTAACGTATTTCTCTTTTAACTCTTTCTTCTGAAAAACAAGACAAACAAACAACAACAACAACTAAAAACAATTCCTATTAGAATTAGGGCACAGACTAATTTATATAAAAAAAAGTGAGTTTGGTTACGTGGATTTAGGGATTATCAGACAGTCAATAAATGTTACTGGAATCTCTATCTTAAATTATAATTTCACCTTTTCAGATATAGGCTATGATTGTTGAACCCAAGTATTCAACATCCATGTTCCTGGAGCGTGTGTATCCTTATTTCCGTTGTTAGAAATTCTTACCTAAAATTGAAATTTTATGCTGAATTACGTTCAGAATGAGTTTGCATGACGAGGCCTATATTTTGGAAACGCCATTTAGTAGTTACACAGAACCATTTTGAGCGGTTTTCCCTTCAGTCCCCAATCAAATTCTCCTGTCCTCCTGCGATTCGCATCCCATCATTTTGGCCTGAATTATTGCAGGGACCACCTAAACTGGAGACTGTTCTTCCCACTTGCTCCTCTCTGTCATCACTCCCAAATCCCTCACACTAGCAGTGGGCTCCAAAATATGTTCTCTGAAACCATCAAAAAAATTTATGAATCAATAGTGCAAAATGGAAAAAGAGTATTAAACCAGGACTAATTCCTCAGAACATTCGCTCTATAAACAGGATTCACTGGTGACCTAATATATACTATTCCACCTGTTTTGTTGACACTATGGAAAAGTTGGTGTAAGTATTAATGTAGACATCTCCAGAATGTTATGTGCACTATATTTTCCTGGTCCTTTTCTAGTTACCACATTTTCCTGTACAAATACATATTTGTGGTGTCCTTGTCTATATTCCCTGAGTAATGCCCTATGTTCCATTAATTTGAGACCATTAATATATTCTTTTCAATAGGTTCTTTGGTCGCAGCAATTTTAGCTACAGATGATGACTCCGGTGTGAATGGAGAAATTACATATATTGTGAATGAAGATGATGAAGATGGCATCTTTTTCCTGAATCCAGTTACTGGAGTCTTTAATTTAACTCGAGTCTTAGATTACGAAGCCCAGCAATATTATATCCTCACTGTTCGAGCAGAAGATGGCGGGGGCCAATTTACTACCATCAGAGTTTATTTCAACATACTAGACGTAAACGATAACCCACCTGTTTTTAGCTTGAATTCATATAGCACATCTTTAATGGAAAATCTACCTCTGGGATCTACTGTCCTTGTGTTTAATGTTACTGATGCGGATGATGGTATGTATTTCATTTGCTGTACTTTTTAACCTCGTTAATATGCCATTTCTGTTATGACTATATTAAATTACGTTTATTTACTGTGTTTAGCTGGCACATGATTGCATTCTGTGGCTATATGTCTAAGGCTAAGTAGCAGAATTATAATTCACTGAAGAGGATTTAAAAATTAAGTACCTTATCAGTTACATTTTTATTTATAACAGTTACTAAGCGGGCATTGTATTGCTTTATAAGCTTTGTCCTTTATCCCTCAAATGTGCAGCACTGTTGCAATTTTTTTTTTTTTGAGTGTTTTTTTTGCTATAGGGCGCATGCGCTCGCCAGAGAGATAGAAAGCGAGAAATCACCCCCCAGGGGGGATGGCCACACCGCAATCCCTTCTCCTCCATTCTCCTCTCAGGATCTTGGGCATGCATGCACACGTGCCCGGCGTGAGTTTTAAGCCACCAGGTCCAGGACACGAACTGTGGTCGACTAGATGGGAGTCCGGTGACATATCCATTACGCTAACTGCTGGTCCCCTCACTGTTGCAATTTAGTAATGCAGAAGTTATAAGACAATTTTGGGGGTAGATTTTGGTTAGAGAAATAAAAGTATTTACATTTTGTATATTCTTTATTCTCTCTCTCTTTTCTTTTTCTAACCCTAACATTTTGTATATTCTTGAACATAAAAATTTGGAAGTCAAAGAATATGAAAGCCTTATAGAAAAACACATAAAAAGTCATAACTGAATTTTACATTTCTGACTGCAATTGCTAATATTTTAGCAAACTTTCATACTTTGACCCAAATGACTATTTCAGATCTGTTTGACTTATGCTATATGATCAAGTTGAGATTTTATTTTTTAAATATGTACTTTGCATATGTTTGCTTTGTACTTACTACAAAAGCATTTGGCCAATTTTTCTTTCAAAAGCAGAATTCCCTGGCCTCTCTTCTAAGATCTGTTTATAAATACATCTATCTAATTAAAGTAGCATTAGAGACAACATTATATAGATGATCCATTTTTAAATAAATTGTTTGAAAAGTCGGTATCTGGTTTTCAGTTCATTGGATGCAACTAAATGTCCTATCCACAGACAAAACAAAGGGCAGTACCTTGGAAAGGAAATCGGTCTCTAATCCTAGAACATGACTAGTGACGTGGGCATAGTGACATTAATTTAGAATTTCCTGGTTCTTACTGATTTGGGTGATTAATGTAATATCAGAAGACCATTGTATCTTAACCTCTTCTAGTTAGTTTTCTTTCAGGAATATCTAGAAATATCACTTAGGAAGATATGTAAAACAAAAATATTATATGGGTTGCAATAAAAATAGGAAATTCTTCAGAATTTATTGAGCGTGGCATTTTAAAGTTTTCACCTCTTATTCAAGCATAGTTAAAATTAGATACATGGATATATCTAAATTCATGTGGCTTTAATACTAATACTGTTACTGCCACTATTACTAATTAGAACGGTAAGAACAACAATAACAGGCATTTGTGGAGTGGTTGGTATGTACCCAGACTAGACCTAAGAATGTGAGATACTCTTTTTCATGAACCTCAACCCAGGTGTATGGATCAGATCCAATTAGACAACTCTACACTGTTGAGGATAATCTGTATTTTTGGAGGTCAGTTTCTGTTATCACAACTTTTACAAAAGCGAGTTTACCTTTTCCTGTATATGAGTAGTTTAATATCATTCATACATTCTTTTTGTTGTTGTTGTTGCAGGGGAGAGATTTTTGCTATAGAGTGCATGCACTCACCAGAGAGATACTGAGAGAAAGAAAGCAAGAAATCACTCCCCAGGGTATGGCTATGCCACAATCCCTTCTCTAACATTTTTCTCTTGGGATTTTGGGCAAAATTCCAAGTGTATACACCCAGTGTGAGTTTCAACCCACCAGGTCTGGGACTTGAACTGCAGCTGACCACGTAGGAATCCAGTATCCCAACCACTATGTGACCTCATGGTCCCCACTCATACATTCTTAAGTTACTTGTCTCTGTAACTGTGTTCAACTTTTCCATACTGAAGAATTTTCTACCACCCTCTTTGTGATTTATTATGTGTTAAAGAGAGCCTATTGTTCATAGGATTGATTGCACATTTCTCTAGAATAAATTTCATTTACTCTCATAACTTAAGAGGTAGGAGAACTGGAAAAATAGCCAAAATGAAATTTTCTTTGTTAAAAATCTGCTGGAATATTCTGTGCACACATAAGCACTTATAATAACCATTGACTCTAAGTCACTTGTCATAGAATGTTTTTTTCCCTTTAATTGTGTTGGGTAAAAGTTTTAAGCTACATTTACCCATTGTTTTAGTTTTGAATACTTTTATCAGTGTAATTTCCTGTACCTTGACCTAAAATATAAGACACAGCTCCTATTCTTTCTGAGTTTCAGGGATAAAAATAAGACTATGCAAGGGCAACCTTGTTTATAAAAATTGCCAACTCAGTTACAATAGATAGTTCTCAAGCTATTTCACAAATGACATTACTTAGACATTTTTAAATTAACAAATTAATGTCTGATCAAAAGATTTCTGATTAAATAATATTGTCATCTTTTTAGATGAAGAAGTTTTATATGGAAATAAACTTAACAAATTTTGTTATAAGAATATAGATTCTCTGAGTTTAACCTTAAGCTAAATAATGTGATTGAATGTATAAAAAAATTTTAAAAAGATTTAAAAAATTTAGATTACATGATTATTTCATAAGTATAAAGCAGATCTTTTACTGTTATTACAAATAGGCAATATCTGTATTAATCTCAAGGCACCCATGCATACAGTCAAAACAAAATTATGTTTAGGAAAATTATTATTAATTGAAGAATTGTGGAAATACCCCAACTTTCTTATTTTTTTATTATTCTAGAAATTATATCCATCTAAAAATATTGGGGAGTCATATAAGAATGTTTTTATAATAAAATAATTGTCTTTTTGGCTGAATAAATATGCCCATAAGGGTTTGATGTACAGTGGAGACCGTTGCACTAGGGGATGTGTTTCATATTCCAGTGACTTAATAAAACTGCTTCACAGGGCTAGTCCTGTGAAGTCTAGTGATTAATGGAGCTGGATCTCCATGACTGACCACAGTTTGAATCCCAGCCCAGTGGCTTGAAAAACATGCCAAGCACATGTGTATGCATGTCCAAAATCCTAAGAAGATAGGGAGTGCTTTCTCTCTATATATATCTATATCTATATCTATCGATATCTATATATATTTGTCTCTCTCTAGTGAGCATACTTGCCCTCTGGCAATTAAAAAAATTAGGAAAAAACTGCTTCATAAAGATGAATGCTATCTGAAATTTTCCCAGATGTTGCAGCTGTGTAATAAGTGAACAAATACTAGTTCTTTATAGAAATAGTAAGAACATTTATAGATTGTGACTAAATGCATACATAGTACAAGGATACTACTTCTCTCTACTTTTAAAATACATTTTATTATATATTTGTACTTTATGTGTTAGACTAAATTATTTACGAAACTGAAATCAGACAACCACACATACATAATAAAACTGCCAGGAAGAATCAAGTAACCAAATGACTTTCAGAATACTGAACACCAGTGCTTGGCAATGAGGGCTCTTTTAAGTCTAGAGATTTGGTGAGCTATAAAATCCTACTACACCCAAGTTCCAACACTCATGAGTGAAATGTAGACTCTGAAAAATAATGCATTTGCTGCTTTTTTGATTCTGTTATTAATGCAAACTACAGAGGGAGAAAAATGGTCCAAGCTTCGTACTTATCAGGATAGACAGAAAGCCCATGTCCCAAGTCATTAATGAGACTTGCTGGGAATGAGACGTCCATTTCTCGGTAGTGAAGTTCATGTAGACAATTTCCATGGCTTGTAATCGCAACTGTTAGGTTTCAGTTCCTCAGATGAGGGCTATTTCATAGATAGTGTCACAATGATTTCTGAAAAAAAAAAAAATCCTATAGTTTTGGGCTTGTTTTCTCCAAGATACTTTGTTATCTTCAGTTCATTTTGAATATTGCTACCTAGATTTGAATATCAAATCACCTTTGCTTTTTTTTATAAAAATTTGTCAGAGGGCACATGCACATCCTGTGGGTGGGCAAGGAGAGAGAGAGTGAGAAAGCAACCCCCACCCCTACCCCCGGGAGCATAGCCTCACTACAGCCCCTTCTCCCCCATTTCTCCTTTTGGGATTGTGAACACACTCACATGTCTGGTGTGTTTCTCAAGTCACAGGATCTGGGACTTGAACTACCCAGTCTGCTACGTGGGACCCAGCCACTAATAACTTGGCCACAGACTGGCCCTCCTTTTTTATCATTCTAGTTAAAGTCTAATATTTATTGCTTCTGCTACTCATGCATCCCACCAAACATTTCCCCGTTATAGAAGAGGTGGTGCTGGTGTTTACAGTGAGCCCATAAAATCCTGGCGTCAGGTTCTGGTTTGGTCTTTGACTGGAGGAGGTAGTCTAGAGGGTGGCCTGAGGACATTCAGGTCCTTGATTTAACTGTTTGCATTCCTTTTGATTCAGGTAGCAATGTTAGGCCCACTCTTTCTTGCCATGTGAAATACTGTCTTCTGCTACCCATGCATCCCACCAAACATTTCCCCGTTATAAAAGAGGTGGTGCTGATGTTTTTGGTCTTTGACTGGAGGAGGTAGTCTAGAGGGTGGCCTGAGGACATTCAGGTCCTTGATTTAACTGTTTGCATTCCTTTTGATTCAGGTAGCAATGTTAGGCCCACTCTTTCTTGCCATGTGAAATACTGTCAGTATTTCTCATTTATTTAGATTTTTACATAAAATACTTTATATGCTATTGAACTAAATGTTATATCTCTGCTTGCTGATATTATTTTTTATTTAGCTGTTTTTGTAATTATGTTTCTCAGTGAAAATTATGTGTAAGCTTGGGCCTCAAAGGAATAGAAATTCAGTATTTACTGGTAGATTTTGTCATATGAAAGACAGAACATTTTCTTAGGAATTAATAAAAAGTGTGGCTGGCAGGTGGCATGGTGGTTAAGTGTGGACTCCCACATGGTTGACTGTAGTTCGAGTCCCAGGCTTGGTGGCTTGCTTTCTCACTCTCTCATCAAACTGAAGAAGAATAATTAATAAATACTTCTTTGAAAAGTGAAATTAATAAAAGATATTTATATACATACAGAGGCAAACAGAAACATATGTAATCAATAATTAAAAGCTCCAAAGAGAAGCTCACAGCAGAAGATTTTGAGGCTGCTGGGTCTCCATCCTTTCCTCTGGCCCAAAGATGCCATTTTGGTCCCCAGGCTATGGGAGCCCTCACTCCTCAGTCCCTTTGCCTGTAGGAGGAAGCCTTTTCCTCTGTGTCTGTCACCACTCTGTGCTCTCTCAAGCATTGAAATTGAGGTAGGTGCCTCCCCTTCCTAAGAACAGGGAGCAAGGAAAGAGGAGAAGCCAGAGAGAGAACCTGGAGTGTGCACCAGGCTTTGGGGATTAAGTTCTTCAGCCATTTAGGAAGGCATTAGGAACACAAGGAGTAGCAATAGGGAGCTTTGGGGAAACTTGGTTGGAGGGAAGTTGAAGTTTCATGACACTATTGATTTTTATCACCACAACAATTATCATTATCTTCTTAAATAAAAAAGCCTGGGGACACAGTTAAAAGAAAAAAAAAATTCCACCAACTGGCATGTGTGTGTGTGTGTGTGTGTGTGTCACACCAACTGGTGCATGGGGGGGATTTTTATTTTACTAAATCTGTAGTATTTTAGGATCAAGGGTGGATATAGACTGTTGACTTTGTTTTATCCATATCTTAAAATTCCTTTTTCCCAGGCCAGCCCTTGGCATGGTGGTTAAAGGGGCTGGATCGCACACGGCTGACTTTGTGGTTTGAGTCCCAGACCTGGTAGCTAAAAAATCAACTCTGTGCTTGTACAGGCATACCCAGAATCCCACAAGGAGAGGTGAAGGATAGAGGACTATGGCGCGATAATCCCCCGTGGGGGGCGTTTTCCACTTTCCTTCACTTTCTGTTTCTTTTCAGTAAGTGCGTGTACCCTCTAACAAATTAAAAAAAAATAAAAATAATACTACCTTTCCCTCCTGTGACTCCCATTAGCTTTATTTATTCATATTTGTCTTGATCTTTAGTCTGCTGAGTATTCTGAATCTTACAACCTTTACTTTTCTCAATCGTGAATAGTCTTTGAGTAAATTGTAAAAAATTAAAAAACACAACTCACGGTGAGAGAAAAATCCTACCTTTCAAAGATCTACTCAATCCTCGTTCATCCTAGAAATTTTTCGCAAGTAGGGCCTAAAAGTTTCTACATAAGTATTTTTCCTCTGCATTAACATATAGGCAAAGGATAGAGAGCATCAAATCACAGAAAAGAGTAATTGTGGCATTTTTAAGAAAAATAAATCCTACATGATACAGTAGACGATCCCATTCCTGAGGTAAAGTTTGCCTTTTTAAGGCGCTTGAGGAGGTTCAAGGAAAGATAAAAACTAGCTCACGTAGCTGTAGAATCCCAGAGAAGAGTATTTGTTTATAATTAATAATAATAATAA